TGAAGAAGGGTCTAGGCCCGAAACGTCCGCCTTCCTGCTCCTCTGACGCTGCTTGACCTGCTGTGTTCATCCAGCTCTACACCTTGTTATCCCAGATTCTCCAGCATCTGCAGTTCCTACTATCTACTGATACTTGTGTTTTGTCTCTCCCTTTTTGATTAATTGTGTTGCATTCGCAGTTTTCCATCAGTCTTTGCCGTGCTGTTGTGTCTCTCTCTCTCTCTTTTCACCGTGCTAATTGCTAGGCAGAACTCTCCTCTGCACCACCATCCTTGCTATGTCCCTGCATTATTGCATCCGATTTTCAAACTCAGCCAGCTTGAAGGGGGGGATCTCTGTTACCTCCTTCACTGCCCCAGGCATTTGGTTGAGATTTTTTTTTTGGAGGATATTGGTGGTTAGGCTGGTTTCTTGTTTTAAACTGGCACCATTTGTAGAGACGTGCAGCATGCAAACAGACCTTTCAGCCCAACTTGTCTGTGCCGACCCGATATCATATATAAATCTAGTCCCATTTTCCAGCATCTGTCCCACATCCCTCTAAACCCTTCCTATCCATGTCCCCATCCAGAAGCCTTTTAAATGTTGTAATTGTACCAGCCCCCACCCACTTCCTCTGGCAGCTCGTTCCACACACACACCACCCTCTGTGTGAAAAAGTTACCCCTCCGGTCCCTTTTAAACCTTTCCCCTCTCACCTTAAACCTATGCCCCTCTAGTTTTGGACTCCCCTCACCCCTGGGAAAAAGACTTTGGTTATTCACTCTATCCAAACCCCCCCCCCATGATTTTGTAAACCTCTATAAGATCACTCCTCAGCCTCCGACACTTCAGGGAAAAAGCCCCAGGCTATTCGGCCTAACTGAGGCAGCATGATGGCTCAGTGGTTAGCACCACTGTCTCCCAGCACCAGGGACCCGGGTTTGATACCCCATTCTCCCTGGGTCTGCGTGGGTTTCCTCTGGATGCTCCAGTTTCTTCCCAAGGTGTGCAGGTTAGGGTAGATTGGCCGTGCTAAATTGTCCCGTAGTGCACAGGGATGTGCAGGTTAGGGTGGATTGGCCGTGGGAAATTGTCCCATAGTGCCCAGGGATGTGCAGGTTAGGGTGGATTGGCCGTGCTAAATTGTCCCATAGTGCCCAGGGATGTGCAGGTTAGGGTGGATTGGCTGTGGGAAATTCTCCCATAGTGCCCAGGGATGTGCAGGTTAGTTGTGGGAAATGCAGGGTTACAGGAATCGGGATGGCTCTTCGGAGGGTCAGTGTGGACTTGATCGGCCAAATGGCCTGCTCCCCAACCGAAGGCTGATGTGGTAATTAGCTGTTTTGATAATTGCTTAGATTCCCAACCAACTAGCAAACGCCAACCCTTTGAATGATGTTACGCTGAGAGTGCTGGAGATCGGAAACACAAACCGAGAAACTGCACAGAGGACCGTAGGAATTAGGAGCAGCAGGTGTCCATTCAGCCCCTTGAGCCCATTCTGCCATTTAATGTGGTCACCACTAACCTTATCCTGGTCTTGCCTTCGCTTTCCTTCCTGCGCACCGCAGCTCTGAATCCCGTTTCTCATCAGAAACCTCTCTACGTTCTTGCTTGGATTCTGTCCCCACTGTACTGTAGGGCAGAGAGTTACGCAGATTCGCAGCTGTCTCAGAGAAGTCGTTTCTCCTCATCTCAGAGTCTGGAGTTAAACACTTCGAGTCCCGTAAGGCTCCTCTCTGGAATGTGTGCGCCCAGGAACGTTAACCCTCCTCTCCGCTGTGTTCCGAGCACCCCGTGTTTGGTGAATTGTCACATTATCCAGCTGCAGGTTTGGTAGCTGACTGAAACCTCTCCCTGTTTGTACCCACGCAGGACCAAGAGAAGCGAACACCACTTCATGCTGCTGCCTATCTGGGTGATGTTCAGATCATCGACGTTCTCATTCAATCTGGTGAGCTGGCCTGTGTCCTGCACACCACCCCCCATGTGTGTGTGTGACCTGTGCGCACACGTGAAACCGCAGCCCTGGGTTCATTGCTGGGTCCCTTTACTGTTTGCAATGTTCCTAAAATGAGAAGTATAAGAGTTGGGAGGGTCATGTTGCGGCTGTACGGGACATTGGTTAGGGCCACTTTTGGAATACTGTGTGCAATTCTGGTCTCCCTGCTATAGGAAGGATGTTGTGAAACTTGAAAGGGTTCAGAAAAGATTTACAAAGATGTTGCCGGCGTTGGAGGGTTTGAGCTACAGGGAGGGGCTGAATAGTCTGGGGCTGTTTTCCCTGGAGCATCAGAGGCTGAGGGGTGACCTTATAGATGTTTATAAGATCATGAGGGGCATGGATAGGGTGAATAGCCAAGGTGTTTTCCCCCAGGGTAGGTTTTGATCCCTTTATATTGGAGGCAATTCAGAGAATGTTTCCCAGCTAGTTACCTGGAACGAGCTCATTGTTGTATGAGGAGAGATTGGACAGACTGCATTCCTTTCAGCTGGGACTTGAAAGGTTGAAAGCTGACTCGGTTTTTGAAGTGTGTAAAATTGTGGATATTCCCCACTGTGGGCCAGCCCCGAACTGTGTGTGTCAGGGCGCGCACGTGCGTGTGTGATGGGGCTGGTACATCTAAAACTAGGGGTTGTCCTTTTGGCACAGAGGTGAGGCAAGTTGTTTTCCCTGGGGGTTCTACGGTTTTGGAACTCCCTGCCGAAGGTGGGAGTGGGCAGGTCCTTGTGAGATGTTGAGGGGTGGGGTATTGTGGATTATCAGGGGGTCAAAAAAAAAACTGATCAGCCGCAATCTTAGCCCAAATAGTGGAGCAGGTTCAGCTAGCTGAGTAGCTCACCACTAGCGTTTCTTCCCCCCCGCCACCCATTGCAGTGCTCCTGAGTTAACCAGCTGGGTGAAACTGATGTTACCGAGAGGGTTAAGGAGTTAACCAGCTCTTGTGTACATTCGGGATTTCCCCGCCACGTTTGCGATTCAGGGCTGAAGCGGTCGAGGTATCAGGATTGTTGGGTGTCGGAGGTCAGTGTGCTCCTTGATCCTGTCTGCTGTGTAACCCCTGCCCCTCTCTCCCTGTGTGTGTGACAGGTGCTAATGTGAATGCTAAGGACAACTCGTGGCTCACTCCATTACATCGAGCTGCAGCCTCTCGCAATGAAGTAAGTGATCGCTGCACGCCCCCCCCCCCCCCCCCCCCCCCCCCCCCCCCCTCTAAACCCGTTTTTCACCCGGACCCCTCCACCACCCAGGGGGGGGGGGGGGCCCGCGGGGGGGGGCGGGCGGGGGGGGGGGGCCGCGTGGGGGGTGGGCGG